ATGTTCTGGCCAGAACATTCTGTCTTATTGCCTTGAGGACTTCACGATCTTCTTCAAGAGGCTCTCCAGTCGCTCACAGCATGATCAGCGTAGCCGTCAGCCGCTGTGAGGCTCGAACGTATGCTGTCAATATTTGTAGGGTTGCATCTTTCCTAGTCCAGAAAAAGAGTCCTTATTTCACTCCACGCAGTGGTCTCAGTTCAGCTTTTCGTCGCTGCGTCGCGTTGCGCGCCGCCTGTACGTGGTGCTGCCGAACGGTGGTCTTACAGCCGCAGGGCTACTGCTGCAGTGCCTGACATGGTACGTCCCCAGCCTCGAACTCTCACCTCCCACTCACATGTTTACCATTTCTTCTCACGCTCGTCGACTGCGCAGACCATCCCGCGCGTGTCCCCGAACGGAGGAACAGATCGGGCGGTGTTCCCATCATTTGATGCTGGGATGGTGTTGCCGTCTTGTCAAGCATGGATTGTCATAGCGTCTACGGTGGCTCAACACACGCTTTTAAAACGCTCCAGCGTCGTCACTTGAGCGTCAGTCTGGCAAGCGTTGTGATTCTTCGGTCACACAAAAGAAACAGACCATTGTGAATTCAACAACTCGGTTTCGCGCAGGTACGTTTGTCTTCACAGCATTGCACTGTGCGGGGATGTTTGTCTTTCTGTCACGACACAAATCGGCTGAGCCGTCTCTGCATCGAAACACGTGTACTGCAAATCGCATGCTCCAATCCCTGAGTGTTTTGCAGAATCGTGAAAAAGCTGAATTCGCACAATTCCAGTTCCCCGTAGAATCCCATGAGGGACACACCCCCGAAGGCACTGGTTTGAAATTTGGGAGACTTTCCGTGAGCCGTCATAACCTCAGGGTGTGTCTCTTTGACAACGGCACAATGTGCCATCATAACTGTTACCGGAGCTGGTGTGTAATGCATCACTCGCCGAGATCTGGTACACTGAATGGCAGTGGCATGTCTTATTCTCCGATGTAGAATGTAATCGTTATTCACGGCCTTGATCGTAAAGTTGATATCCTTGTCGCACTCGGCTGCTGGGAAGAACAAACTTATCCCGACTTCATTCCAGTGAACCTCTGTCTTTTTGCCGGTGTACACAAATGGTATTTCTGAGTCGAGACTCGACTCCAACAACTTCAGTTGGAAGTATGGGCTTTGCTGCAGCTCATGCGGTAATGACTTTGAGGTGCCCGACTCCATCAGTGGATCGGTATTAACCTCTTGATTCTCTCTTCTCAACTCTTCTAAATTGCAGTAGATTCTGCCCGATTTTGCAGCTAAATAGTTCTTGGGGCAGACTTATATTTTCACTCCAATTCCTAAATTTCTCGTCACTTTTGCTGCTGCCACTTGGTGAAAGGAACTGTCTAAAGGGTTTTGGCTCTGGTGCAGGCGGCTTTAACTGCCGACTAGTATTGTTATAGATCTTAGTGGGGGTTGTCGTTGATGGTATATAGTGCATTTCTGCACTGCAGTAGTCTGAAGTCGTTGTGCCGTGGCTAGTGTTTGATTTCTCTGGGATATCATAATGACCGTTTCCCACGAAGAAGAATTCTCCTTCATCTCCTTCGTAAATATCTTCTCCATAATCTCCGGCGCATGATGCTATAAAGCCTGCACTTGGCTTAGCACTCTTCCTGGCCAATGCAGATGCTAATCGTTGCAAGTCATAGCTACCAGCTGCAGAATAGAAGGGGTTAGCTTGATCCTGTAACAATCCTTGAGCCTCCAACTTGCCCATCAGCAACTCTGCAGCTATAACCCGTAATTTTTCCCTGTCTTGTTCCTTGACGTGGTCTGGGAACGTGATGGTTGTCGGGAGAGTCTCAGAGTAGCCCATCTTCTCCAAAATGTCCCTGGCTCCAATCATGCCATCGGTGACGTGGACATGAAATATGTGCTTGTTGGTCTTGATGGTGCGCCATACTCGTGGCAACCTACTAGTCTTCAGTAGGTCGATGGCATGCTTGAGAAGATAATCACAAGAACCCGCAATTACCTCCAAGTAGTCACGCTTCTCCTGCGGGATTTATAGTCAAGATCGATAGCTAGTAGCATGTTTAGTTAGATTGCTAGAAACATGTTTATCACTAATGGTGTCATGTAGCTTTGTGCATCTTTGCTGTGTAAGGACTAACAACAACAGGGACATGGTGAAAGAATGCTTGCTTTTAGTAACTTTTAGCCCTTATATAATGCCACAGTCCCTAGAGTAGCACACCAGGCAACAATATAGGGATTGTGTGATGGGGTTGGGGGTGTCAGCGTGCTCAAATCTGTTCATTAACCATGCTTCATGTATCCCATCCCTATCTTGTCTCCCTTTCTTTTTATACCATCCCTATAAGTATGCCTCTTTATTTAAATTCGCAGGATTTTTAATTTATATGCGACGTACCCGATTCCAGTGAAGAATCATGTGGAAAGGGATGTATTCGTAGCGAGCGCTGCGAGGCTTGATAACGTCGATGCATTGCCTGGCCAGCTCCACTTGTTTCTCAGACACGCTCGAGGAGTTGAAACCGACGAACGATTGGACCAACCGAGTCTTGGTCGACGTGTCTACGTTCAGTTTCCGTCTTGCCGGCACTGGACGCGATTTCGCTTCCGCCATGCTGAGTTTCTCCGACTGGCAAGCGAGGTACTAGCTCAGACGGGTTTTATAGAGCGCCCCGCGCGCGCCGGCGAATTAGGTGTCGTCTACGTAAATGCGCATGCGTCGTGTCTTGGGTGTCAAGGTCTTAGGGGGTGAATGGATGTATGAAGCTCATTGAGGCCTCGTGACGACATACTGTACACATGCAATTGGATTATTCATAACATGTCTATCGGTGTACTGGAATGTGCCACACACACACAACCGATTATTCATCCGCCACCCCCTTTTTCCTCCTCCCCACCAGAGAAAGAGCTGTCAGTTGTGCACTGAGACAGAGTGCTATTTTACAGTGATATACTGAAAAAATCTGCGTCGTTCTGTGTCTATATACTATAGCGGCGTATACTAATTCTTTTGCTGTTAGTTTGCTAGTTATTGCTCTGTGTGCTATGCTGGGGTTTCAACTCCATCTCACTATACAAAAGCTGGCTGATGCATGCACTGAAGGCACATTTTGTTATTGTAGCCAACTTCCCTGTTCTGTGCCACTTGCTGTTTACTTAACATAGTGCTATGAATTTTGGAGGCTCAGTTCAAAGAGTAGTATAGATACTTGGATTAATGGCTGCATAATTAAGAGAAGGAAAGAGACTGTATGTATTTATGTTCTATGCGACCGCACCTTGCTTCCATGTAAAGCAGCAAATACAGTTTCCACTCAATTTGCTGACCAACAGGATTGTAATATTACGAGTTGACATTACAGGATGTATTATATTCAAAACCTTTGGTCTCTGTGAGATTTTTTAACGTACTCAGCCAATGCGTTGAGTTCAGTATCCTTTAAGGCTTTAATGAGGTTCTCCCAAGTCACTGGAGTTGGTTCTTCTTGTAGCCAGGTCCGGAGAATACTGGTAACGATACGTTCTGGCTGATGGTGACAAGTCTCTCTTGCATTAGCAACCACACAGCCCGTGGTGTCGTCAAGGAGTAATGTGCCAAATTTTTCATATTTAGTTCCGATTTTTTCCGGGAGCTTGAGTCGCATCATCTGAGGAAGGTTTGGCCTGGAGTTAGCTGTATCGTTGCCAACCCACAACAACTGCTTGTTATCTGGTAAGGCATCTTTTATCGGACAGTGCAGAATGTATCCTGTACGTATCCCTTGTACTCTCGTAAATGTTGCGAAATGATTATTTGGTTGGCAGGAGCAAACTACGGCAGGTGAAATTTTAATTTCGTCTGCATCAAGCTGCATAACGTCAAATACTTTCTCAATTGCTCCAAACACAGTTGTGTAAAGTTTATTATAAGTGTTTGGGGGTAGATCATCCAAGCTCAAATCACTGTATGCATGAATTTTGATGTAGTTAGTGCAGTCAACAAGAATGACCTTAAGCAGCAGTTCTTGGTTATAGAGTAAAGCGATATTGTGGGCAAGGCATTTCGGAGGACCATATTCTACTTTTCGGACTACTTCCCAGCCGTACTTGGAGAGAAGACAGGAGATGGTGCTGCCAAAGCAGCCGAGAGGAACACAGCCACTGCTGAACTTTACGACTAGCGGGACCGTGTCGGAACACTGAGGGATATGGTGATGGAGTTCATGATCAGGAATGTCAGGCATCAAACACATCATGAGGTACTGTTTCTCTGGTGCAGCTTTTGTCGGATTGCAGTGGAGCTAAAGTTAAGGTGTGGCAAAAAAGCTTAATGGCATCTTGAACCTCATAAATACCTTTCTTAAAATGTGACGAGATGTGATCATAGCTAAGCAATTCTTCTGTGATGATACCATCATGAAGTTGGTTAACAAACCTTAATGGAAAGGCTTTGAACTCACCAACATTAACTTTGTAGCTAAAACGGACAATGCTATTAACAATGTCAAGAGGCACCTGCGGTTTCACAAATACATGATTCGGAAGCACATGTCCAAAGTAGAGGAAGGTGTTTTGGCGATGAAAGAGGACCAAAGCAGCTTGCAGTACCTCGTCACTCATATCCAGTCTAGCTCCGATTTGCCTGCATTCATTAAGGCTCAGTATATCACGTTTAACGCTTGTAGCGTATGCAAGAATATCTTGCTCGAATATGAAGAACGAACTAGGCACATCCAGAAGAGTTCCTAAGTCAGGCTCACTGACTTTTGTGACGTATTTGATCCAGCAACTATTAAGTCATCGCTATCAGGAGACTTTAAGTCCAAAACAAAAGCAATTTTGTCTGGTGATTCACAAAGAATGAGCTCCTTTTGAAAAGCAGGAAGCAACATGCTTTTCAACTCACGGTTTAATTTTTCTACCTTTACTTCTAAATCTTTTTTTACGCAATCTCGATGTGTGGCAACAATAATAAGATGAAAAGGGTTGTCTGTTTCCTTCCTAGACACTTTGGCATGGAAGGTTGAAGCAAGCTTTAGGATTATATCCTTGGCATTATATCGTGGTAAGTGGCCAAGGCGTTCATAGCCAATCCCCTCATCGTGATAGGTAACTCGAGGGTGCTCCTCAAGGCTATACTCAAGATTAAGCACTAACACTGCGAGGTTGGCGTTGTGTATGAGAGACGGCATGACTTCCATGAGCTCGGGCTGACCTCCTGTGTCTATCATGTGGACCAGCTCTAACATATCAATATCTGAGGCATCTGCTGACTTTTACTAGAGGAAGCATTTCCATTTCAGTGGGACTTACGTCTGGCAGTGCAGTAAGGTTTTCCATGAACGGAGTTTCTAGAAGTGATGGGTCCAACATTTGCATGATGGAGATAGCAAGACGTTTGATGTCCGCTTCATTCATGCCATTTCTAATAAAAGGAGCAAGAAGCTTGCGGATATCTTTGTAAGAGAGAAGCCTCCATCGACCTGTAGCGATAAAGCCAATGTGTTTTAGCAAACCACGCATTGCTGCCTCACAAAGGCCAGTGCTTGTATAGAGCTCTGAATTGGCAAGGAAAAATAATCGATTTAGCAGGCAGGTCTTCCCAGAGCCCATCAAACCTGTAATAACGCCCATTACGTTCCTTTGTTTCAGCGCTCCAGCTTTCAGTGCATGGCTAATGATCTCCTGGGCTCTCTCATCAGTTATAATGACTGCAATGAACGAACAACAAAATAAAACTAGAACGAATGCCACGGCTGTATATACCTTCACTAGGGCAATAAATAGCTTCCACTCTCCTAGCCAGTGCAGGTAGGTTGACTAGGACTCCTGAGAGCTTCCACAATGACCCTCCATGTCGGTCTGGGCTCCGCTTGGTTCAGGAACGCGATAATGACATGAAGAAGACGACCTCGTGAGTTTTCATACGTCGAATGAATGGCCTCGAGAAGGTGAAGTGGCAGTTTTAGCTTCAGACCCAACACTAACGACTGGTTCTGTGCCTCCAGCAGTGCCTCCAGTACCTCCGGCGCATCGTCTGGCGCAAGCGTATGGTCAAAAGCGGCTGCGAGTTAGCAAATAATGTTAGCTACATGTAAACTGGATATCACTAAAACCTTACCCGTAGCCATGACTCTTTTTCGTCGCCAAAAAACTGAACGTTACAAAGCGCAGTGTACCTGAGCGAGTGTACTAGTACGAAAACAAGGGCGAGGCTCGTTTATGAATACGCGTGCGCGCGTGTGAACGTGTGCGGTCGAACATGATTACGCATATATACACTACACCCTAAATGTTCAAGGGCGGTTCAGGGTTCAGACGATGCGCGAGGCGCTACACGCGCATGCGTATTTGCGGACTCTGTCAGGTGCTTGCTGCTGGCAATGTCACGTGCTGACATCTAATCAAATTCAGAGACAGTGAGTTTTACTAATAAAAAAATCTCGCATGCAAAAATCTCGGGATCCATCATTCACTCCAGTCCCAGTAGCTCCACGTCAAACATGAGAGTTGCATTAGGAGGAATGACTCCAGGATGGCCATCTTCTCCGTATGCATAGTCTGGAGAACACGTCAGCTTAGCTCTCTGACCGACACTTAGCTGGGGAGAGGAGGAATGATGTAGAGTAAATGAGAGAAAGAAAGGATTGGACCGTTCAGCTGGCTCTAGTTGGTTGGTAAGTAAAGCAAGCTTACCTAGTCGTCTGAATGCGGGATTTTTTATTCATTTGCGGGCACAGCAGCACACACCATAACATTCTACCTGATGCTGAAAAAGGAATACGTCATTCTAAATGCGCGAGCTCCCTTTTGCCAAAAATGTGTTGCTAGTTTAAACCTAAAGGCCCAGAGCATGTAGGTATGTACGTGTCAGTTTACCTGTGCTACTCCCTCATCCCATCCTACATGAGAGAGAGAGAGAGTGTGTGTGCATGATAGAGAGAGGGGGGATGAATTGCAGAATATGGAGTGTGTGTGCGAGAGCGGATAACAGGGGAAAAAAC